CAGCTAGATCGCGCTACATCAGATTTGAAGATAAACCTCCAGTCAGAATCGTCGCAGTGGTGCTTTGAGGTAAGATTTCTGCATTCAAAATGTTTGCGTCTCTTTCTTTATTTTGCTATAAAATTTCGAGCAATCAACTAGTAATGAATTCCATGACAAAGAGGTGATTATAGTCAATATAACCATCAATCAAAGTTGGTGTTGTCGAATTACACTTTTATTTCTGTTGTTGAAGATAAGCATTCACGAAGATGGTTTATCTATTCAATAACACTGTTGTTAGTCCATTCCTGTTGTTTTTATGAGTATGGTTTTTATTTGTTAGTGCACAGGCTGTTAGTAAGCTTTTTTTTTTCGAAGAATATAGAAAAGCCAAGCATGTTCCATTTGATACCTGAAACAATCCAATCCATTATCTATAAATTGGTTGAACATTAACTTCTAGGTAATAATTAATGACTAAATATTGTTAAAGTATGTCCTTTAAAAAAAAAGATTGTTGAAGTATGCCTCGTAGTAAAACCATGTCCATATGAACTGTTTACTACTTGTCAGTTACTACCATGATATCCAGCAGGAGTCATGATATAACATATACCATGTTGGCCATGATATCTAGTTGGAAACCATTCATTCCAAATATGACGGAGCGAGGGAATTTGGATTGGTTTTTTAATGGATTGGAGTCACTGGACTGGGATATAATCAAACTAATCCAACTAGAAAAAGATTTTTTTTTTTTTACTTTCAATCTATTAAATCTATAATGGATATCTGCATCCGAGGTTACTAGTAATGAGTTGGATTGGAATGGATTAAAATCCAATCCACTGGCATCCTTAATGTTGACTATATTTTTGAAGAAATAAAGTAAAATGCATTCCACCAAAAGTGTGCAGAATATAGAGGTGCAACTCGTGTGTAGCCAATGATTGTATAGGGGATTTTTATCCCTGATAAGAAAACAAGAAGTAAATACTTTTTAGAAAAAAAATAAAAAGTATTCTATCTTTGGACAAATAGATTAACATGAGGGCTTATAAAAAAAAGAAAATAGTTTAACATGAGAGAACTAGGCTCTCCTTTGTGTGTGTATGGACGGGGGTGGTGTGGTAGGAGATAAGTTGGGTACTCTGCTTTAAACTGTAAAATACCCAGTTAGAACTTTGATGTGTATAGTAGTTTGGCAGATCTGTTTTAAACTGTAAAAGACAAATGTGCATTACATTGGTTCTATCATCTTCACCTTTTCATCATCATCATGATACTATGTGAAATATCATGCCCCACCTAATTCCATTCATGATTCAACCTGGCTGGATCGAATCCATTATGTATAAGCAAATTATATCAACTAGGTTGTTTTGATAATACAACAAAACAAACTTGAGGTCGAAGGTGTACAATCCTTAGAAATATTGTAGAACTACCCAATGATCAAAGAATTAAATTACAATGGAATGATGATTTACAACCTATAGGGGAACATAGAAAAAATTTTGTAAATTATATAGGAATGCAAGCAAGTGATGGGAGATTTGTACCTATCCATTATGTCGATTGGCATGAAGTTCCTCAAAGGCATGAGGATGAAGTATGGCAAGTGATCCAAGTAATATTATCAATATACATAATACACATAAGATCATTTTTCTATTATATGTTGTCTTATCAATCTAAAATTAATATATTTTAATTTTATAATTTATTAACTAATTGTAGAAGAAGTTTGAACTTGAAGAAAAACATAAGAATTGGGTCATGTGAAAGCTTGGAGATAGGTGGAGAGCATACGTGAACAAAATAAAGGTGAACTATGAAATTGATGAGGAAAGAATTAGAAATTGCCCTCGTGATGTTCATTTGGATTAGTGGAAAGAATTGATTAAGTATTTTTGAAGTGATTTATTTGAGATAAGTTATAGTATCAAACATTTTTATGTATCTAGCTTTAATTATTATTCTTATTTTAAATAATGCATTTACATGAATGCACAATGTAGGCTCGAAGTGGAAGAGGTAAATCAAACCGAGCAAAGGCAAATTTTTATGAGTGTTGTCGATGGTCTTATAACATGATCAAACCCATTATTCAAAATATGATTACTTTTGATTTGCAAAAAGAAAGAAAAATGGGTACGAGTGTTTGTTCTTGACCAAAATGCAATTTTTTATATATTTTTGCCTCATTAATTAACAATTAGTTTATTAAATGACCTTTTATCATAAAAAAGAACTAAAATCTAATAACTCCTCTTAAAAAGTGTAATCGACCCAAGATACAATATGCATCAAATAGATACTTTGAACCTTGAGTAACTAATCTTAATTTACTCTCTCTCTCTCTCTCTTGACGCCAAAGGCAAATTAACCATTGATATTACTCCGTTTACAATCATTTCTTAAAGCTAAATTCAAGAAGTCCAGGGAGATAGACCAAGTGTGCACTAACGACAAAGAGAGAGCCTTCTTTGACAGTAAACGACCAACATGATTGTTAGACCTCTTAATAAATCTTACTAAGCAATGAGAGATTCGGTTCATGAGCACTCTGCAATCAGCAACATATTGTTTGATACGCCAAGGAGTATCTAAAGAGATCTCCAACAGGGAATTAATCACTAGAAGTGCATCTCCCTCAAAGATAACATGATGTATCTATAGGTCCACAACTAGTTTCAAAAATTTCAAACAAAGCTAGAGCCTCAGATTCCACTGCAGAAGACACAGGAAGAACCATTGATCTTGCTAAGATAAGGGATCCATTGTGATCTCTTAGTATGATTCCAGCCCTTGATTTTGTAAACGATGTCGCTCCATCAAAGTTTATTTTGAGAAAATACCTCGGAGCAGTTTTCCATTGAGGGGTTGCAGGAGGATCAACATCTGTTAAAGAAGTTTCAGTACTAGTATTTTCAGTCGAAAGAGAAATCCCCAACAGATCTTCTATCTGGGCATGAATTTTATTTAGAATTAAATTGATGTCGAAAGTTTCATTTCTGAAGATCAAGTTACATCTTGCCTTCCACACTTTGCAAAGATAGAAACATGATCATTTGAACTTGGATCTGGACTCCTCTAATTCATGCCAATAGGTAAACCATTCGAAAATGGACCAGTTTTGGTGACTTGCTATTCTTAGATTGAGAGAAGAACTGGACCAAATTCTCTGAACTAGGGGGCAGTATAGGAATAGATGCATGGTCCATATTTTTCTCCTGTTGATCACATATATAGAACAAGTTGAATCGATGTGAATACCTACCTCTTCTAGATAGATAGATAGATCCTTTTTTAGTGGTAATGAGTGCGCTAGGCATCTCCAAATGAACAAATGAACTCGAGGTTGGAAATATATGAACTTCCAAAACTTCTTCCAAGTGCACTCTCCAAAGGCTTTTTTCGAGTTAGAAGATCCAGAATCATCATTTAAGAGTAAGAGGTGAGCTGACCTTGTTGAGAAGTTACCATTAGCCATGGATTTCCAGATTAAGCTATCATCCATGGAGTTCCCAAATTTTGGTAGAGGAGGGAGGTAGAAAGAAAATAATTGGGTATAGCTTGTAAGACACTTTTAATGAGAATCTGCCAAAGCTCCAAGGCCCTCTGTTCATGATAGCTTCTCTATCTGCCAAAGACTTGAAATGGACCAGCCAACTATCTCCGATGAAATCTGAAATATTCCGGCTCGTACTTTTCAAGTTCTGGGATATTTTTTTAGGTATTCTTTTAGGCTTCTAATCCGAATGTCTTTCTTTATCTCTCAGAACTCTGAATACTATGCAGTTCTTCCAATCCTTGGGTCCCTACAGTTCCTCTTTCTTTGCTTGAACGAGTTACTGTGGTAATGGCGATAAGAGGTCTAAGAATTTCTTGATTATGGAGTCTGCAAGACTTTGGCTGTTGTTGAGTGACTCCGTGGTTACAAAAGGAGGTACGAATAAACAACAGGGATTCAGAATATCAATACATTCTCTCATTTTATTATCCATTAAAACTATTAACTTCTTAAATAGGTCCATTTTTATCACTTATCTTTTGGACATGTTGCTTATGTTGTGTTTGGTTGCAGTACAGTTTTATTTGCACTAGAACAAATGAATGGAATGGAAGTGCAAATCAAAAGAATGCAAAATCTGGTTTAATTTTTGTTTTGGCTTTATGTCTTATTTTACTTCATTTGTACTGCAAAATAAAATAACTAAATCAGAACTTTTACCCAAATAATTTGCACTACCAAAGTTTTGCATCCTAGCAAATTTAATTGCACTGCACCCAAATGTAGCCTTATTCATTGTTCAACACTATCGACATAGCTGGCCATACAGCAAGAAATAATCAAGATTTTTATTGGCCAGACTAATTTATATCTATACTATATAAAGTGGATACTTGTTTAGGATTCTATGCAGCTTACAAAATGTTAAATCCAAATATCATATATTAATGTTTCGTGAATACAGTGTCCTTACAACCCCAGCTTCATCATATTTTTCTTCCCATCTTTGAATATTCTGCTTATGAGTTATGACACAAAACAAAAAATTGTTTGGGTCAAGTTTGGTCAATGGTCATTAATGGGCTAAGCCCACCCTAGGCCTTATACAAGCCTTTAGTTTCTTCTGGTTGGCCTTGGGCTTCATCTTTCAGTGTGCCTGGGCTGGGCCTGGCCTGACCTCAACGCCCATTTAATTTTAAACCTTGCCAAATTCTACCCTTAGCCCTATCTGTCTGTGTCCATCAAGGCTCGACCCAGGCCGGGGCCCAATAAGCCTTTATGGGCCCCACCTCTTGTTTTCGTTTAACGGTGATGGTGGCTTTGAATTCCGTATAGCTAGAACCTAGAAATGCACCACACTGCAAGCAAGAATCGACTTGACGAAGAATCGGTTGACTCGGGACTCGGGAGGGTTCATCGAGTCTAGTATAAACCCAGATCCGTGACCGTGACATAAACTCGGTCGGGTTAAAGTGTAACCTGAACCGGACCGCTTCCGGACTCTGGACCAAAACCTTCAAAAACCCCTCTTCTTCTCTCTCCTTTCTTGATCCCGTTGCCGTTGGCCTGTTAATTTCCCCCTCTGCTGCCGCGTGATTTCTCCGCTAATACTCTTCCATGGTATCTTTCTGTCCTATTTTTTGCTGTCAAATGTTTTCCTATAACTTTCTTTTCTCTCGTTTAGTTAGATAAGTTTCAGTGTTTTCGCTAGTTCTCCCCATCGTTTTTTCTTCATTTCGTGCTTGATATGAATTTGACTTACTGTTTTACCCATAACAAGAAATATCAAGTTGTTTGTTAATATGCTCTTGTTTTTACTTTTTATGAATCGAATTCAGAGTTCTTGCGCTAGCACATGGATTTGAGTCCTCTTTCATTGCTGAACTGCTTTCTCGTTATCTTGTGTTTATTTGTCATGTTTTTAGGTGGGCATTCTACCTCCTAATACTATATTGCATTTTTTTTTTTGAGTGGTTCACATTTATCAAACCAGTCTCCTTCATTCATTATTTGATCTTCTAGCATTTGGAGTTTCTTCTATTTGCTTTCTCATCTTATTTCTTGCACTGTTTTCTGGCTGACTATTTGAATTATATATGCTCAAGTTTAATTCGTGATTTCATCTATGACTAATCTTGTGACTTGCGTTTGAATAAGTTTTATACATGTTGTATGATTGGTTTATTAATTGAATTTTGTGGTTTTTTACTTTTATTAATCTCCAATTATATCTTGCATTCAAATTTATCTCCACACCAGATTGCTGCTTTGCTATGTTGTCTTCGTTTCTGTTCCAAAACCGTGGAACTTGTGTACACCTATAGGACTTTCAGATAAGATTTGGACATCTCTTTTAACCAAAAAGCATAAGTGATTAGGTTGTGGGCCAATCCTTGTATATAAGGCCCTTGCATTTCTCATTCATTTCTAATGTGGGACACTCCTACATTCACACATGCATCCCAACAATCTACCCACCTCTTTTAACTAAAAAGCATAAGTGGTTAAGTTGTGGGCCAATCCTTGTATATAAGTCCCTTGTATTTTTCATTCATTTTTAATGTGGGACACTCCTACATTCACACATGCATCCCAACAATCTACCCCTCATGTGTGAATCCTCTTTCCACGTTAGGTACATTGTACTCCCCCTTGAATGGAATCCATTATCATATCACCAAGTTTGATGTGTATGCCAACCAAAACCATTTGCTCGATATAGTGCAATGAGGGGACTCACCAAATTTGAGGAGCTTGTGCACATGCGTAGGATTTACATAGAGTTGGGCACCACCTTTAATCCAAAGGTTTCAACCATTAGGTTGTGTGGCAATCCTTGTATATAGAGGTGTAAATCGGACTATTTTTCGTGGCCTGGCACAAATTTGAGCCGACCTGGCCCGGCCCAGCCCAATGGTCCACGAGTTGGCACAACTCGGACCATATATATATTTTATATTACATATAGCATATAATATATTAATAAAATAAACATTTTTTTCAATTTTATTATACTATTTTATTTAACTATTGTATATATAAGCAATTGTATACACCAAAATTCATATAAAATTAAAAATTTAAGTTTTATTTGAATTTCTTTTAAATAAATAACTTTGCCCAGTCCACGACCTGACTTGGCCCAAGGCTCGGCCCACGGACCAGCCCGGGCCCATTTGGGCTCGAGCCATGGGCCGTGCCAGGCCAACCCCCTAAAATATCCCAGGGGAAGGAGGCCCGACCCGACCCGACCCACATTTTCCGCAGGCTACATGCAGGCCATGCTGTGCCGGCCTAGCACAGCCTGTTTTACACCTCTACTTGTATGTAAGTCCTTTGTAGGGCTGTTCACGGGTCAGGTTGGGTCGGTTTACTGAGAGTTTTTCAACCGACCCGACCTAGTCAGGTTACCTGAAATTGAAACCAAAACCGACCCTGTGTTAAGCAAAACTGACCTGGTCGGTTTGAGTTGGGTTAGGTCGGTTTGGGTCGGTTTCGGCTCTAAGTTCAACCATGGTAATAAATTGGTAGATTGGAGAAAGAAGATTGAAATTTGATGTAAAAAAGGACACCTAATTCTATTAGAGAAAGAAGACTGAAATTGGTAGGGGGCAGACCAAGTTAGAATAGAAGTTATCAAGAAAATAGAAAGWSAAACTGTATTAGAGAAAGAAGACTGAAATTGGTAGGGGGCAGACCAAGTTAGAATAGAAGTTATCAAGAAAATAGAAAGTCAAACTGTATTAGAGAAAGAAGACTGAAATTTGTATATTTCAAGAAACCTTCTAATCTAAGTAAAAAAGGACACCTAATTCTAATTGTAATTGGTTGCCTATTTGGTGTAAAAGACCATAAAAACTAGGATCCTTTGATTCTTTTCTTTAAACTTTTCCAAAAAAATTCCTTGTCTAGTTGTCTTACAATACTTGCCATTAATATCATTCCTAACTAGAAGACTAGAAATTAAGTTAGGTTGTAACTAGGATAGAGACAACTTAGTTAAGTAGGTTGTAAATACTAACTAGGAACTAACTACTAACTACTAAGTCGGTTCGGTTTGGTCAGGTTGGGTCTTCTTATGAACAGCCCTAGTCCTTTGCACCTCTCATTCCTTTTCCGATGTAGGATATTTCTTGTCATGAATCTTCAGTTATCTATATCTTTTTTGGAAGTTTTGATATCCTTAGCTTTGGTATAGTTGGTTGACAATGAATTGCTTGTGAGATCTGTAACAGTTAGTTTTGTCCACCTACATTCTTTTATCCTGATCAAATTACAACTCAATAGGTTAGGAAAAAATTGAGAATAGGCAGGGAATGTGCCTATTCCTTTTTGTCCACGTATTCTGATCATGACCATGCTTCCAGGTCAAAGATGTATAAAACTTGTACAAATGCCTAATAAGAGAAGCAAAGTCCCTTGCATGCAGGATGAATAATTTGTTAATTTTTTTTAAAATAATTCTTTAGATGGATCCAAAGATTGCAAGCACTATGGCAGATGGCTTATTTAGAGAGAGAGAGTGGAAAGAGCTAAGCTGCATTGAAGGGCTTTAAGCCTGGGATAAATTCTGCTGCTCTTGTATGATGTAATTGGTCCTGTCACCTGGTTCCCCCTATATGATATTCTCGTATGGCACAGGTATATCCTTATTCTCCTCTTTATCCATCATTAATACCATAGTTTTTTGTTGTGTTTCCAATTCAAAGAAAGGAAAAAAAAAAGATCATTGGTGCAATGGTGCTTAGAGATATATCTATTCCTTCTAAATCTTGATTAGGTCTGTTTTATGTCATTAAATCCATTGTATGTATGTGGGAATTAATTACATTTGATTTTCTATCATAAATTTCACCTCTGTTCTTGCTTAAGTGATTCTTTATTAGACTGCACGTACACTACCAAAAAATGTTAATCCCATTCTATGTTCTTGGAGCATGATTGAAAGAGAGCAGTCTCAAGATATGATCATCTCCTACTCAAAAATAAAGAAATAAATAAAGGGAAAAAATCCTCATTATAAGTTAATTATATTGTTGGTAGATTGATATATGTGTGTGTGTGGTAGGGTTATGCTACTCTGCTTTATCCTTTAGTTTTCTCATTCCACCATGAATTTAACATGTAAAGAGTTTCGCATCAATGTTAGGTAGTGAGGCAGAAAGCTTTTTCAAAGTTTGAGAACATGGTTGAAGCCTTATCAGCATCATAAGCAACCTCGTTGGTTGATAGCAAGCCCACTAACTCTTTGCAAATTCTTATGGGCTCATTGTGATAGAGAAACTTTAGTTGCTACTGACTTAAAACTTGGAAATGCATCAAAAGAGAAACTGGTATGCTGCAAGGTACCAACCGGTTGGTTGGTAAGGTCTCCTCCTGGCTATAGCGGAGACTTGGGATCGAATCTCACCTGCACAGGGTTGGGGCGTTTATGGGTTACAGAGTTAGGGAGATGGGCTACCCCCTGTTTATGTAGCCCCTTGGAGCAAAAAAAAAGGAAAGAAACTGGTATTCTAAATTCTGAAAAATATTTGATTCCACACTAGCTTTTAAAACCTGCATTCACAAAAATGCTGCAACAGAGCTGATAAGGGGATTGAGAATTCAGTTGAGCGAAATATATCTAGCCTAGCAGTTCAAGATTTGGTGCCAATGAGCTTGGGTTTATTTTGGAGCCTCTCTAGATACAAGCATGTTTCTGATAGAAAAGAATAAAGAGTGCAACTGTCTCATGGATTACTTTTTTTTTTTTTTTTAAGGTTGAGAGGCTTTGGGTGACCCCATGGGTTCCTTTAGGAAATTTCTTGGTCAAAGATAAATTTATTGGATGATTCTGAGAAATCATTCTGATGCATTGTTTTGGCAGTTGAAACAAACACTGAATTTATTAGGGAAAAACACATGATTGTCACCATCTAATAGGAAAGGGTTGATGTACAAGATGTCCATGTTGGGACTTATCCAAGTTTGAAACCCCGTGCCCTGTTGGGGTGGGGACAAGGATAAAGGGATTTTTTAGATGCCTTGTTCAGCCAATCGTGTCCCTCTACTCTTGAAAACATACTTGAGTACACGTGTAAAGATGCTGCCTATAAATGCTTATGACACACTCCTTTTTATTTGTGCAGATAATACCAAAAGTGGTTAAGGCAGAACTGAAAGAGGTGGCTGTTAGCCTGTTATTTCCAATGTTATCAATGCAGTGAGGTGATGACTAGTTGATGAAAGAAAAGTATTTACTAAATGTAAGATATTGATGCAATCTCATAAATAAGTGAACATAGACTATGAATATGCTTTAAAATAATATTGAAAATCTAGTTTATGGTTTTTGTTTTGCAAACATAAATAAAAGTTAGATTAGATATGCTAGGATATGAAATTAAGGCTTTTGTTTTCTAAAGAGAGTGCGACCTTGACTATTGGATGCATCAACCCATTGTTGATCCATACGGTCTGATGCAACGCCACCTGTAACCTGTTAAGAAGAAGAAAGAAGACAAGGAGGAGGAAGGAGAAGAGAGAACTATTTCTCAAAAATAACATCAAGATAATGTTACAACATTTATAAGAATATTAAAAACTGACAATTACAATGAAATCCCTATTAAGTATGAAAATTACAATTAACCCCTATTAAAAAGAAAGTTTACAAATAAACCCAATTCTTGCATTAATTAAAATAAACTCTAAACTAATGTCGTTGACACCTAAAATAAGTATGAATTCTGTGTGGTGCATTGGTTGCAAAATGATCTCCATCACAGTTGGACTGGTTGGCCCAACACCTGGAGACAACGATGGGATTGTTTTACCCCAAACTCAAAAAGTCTAAAAAACTGTCGACTTGGCCAAAAAACCATTGACCTGAACAGTTAAATCAGTGAATTGTTTAAACTGTTCACAAGTCACGGTTTGAACTGATGACCTTTGAGATCAGTGGCCTAGGTAGATAGATTGTTATGGACACACCAACCGGCAGCACACTGCGGCGCAGTCATAGGTAGAAGCACGCACAGCGGGCCGCCCAGCAGCACGCACCGCCAGGCAGCGCCGCACAGAAGCCCGGCAGCGCACCGCA